ATAGGCATTTCAAAACAACATAATTGTAATCACACTCCCAGCTTTTTATGCAAAACAGTAGCATATACTCATGTGGGCTTTACTCCTGTATTATTTGGTATATATATATATTTCTTTGGTTTCATTCATATATTCACCATTTTATGCTAATTATTATTCTTTTATCTCAGATTTCCTTTTGAAATCATTTCTCTTACACCTGAAGTATCTCCTTTACAGCTCATTTTAGTGAGGATATGCCAGGGCCAACTCTCAATTTTTGTGCATCTTAAGATGACTTTCCTTTATCTTATCTTTTAAAAGATATTATTATTAGGTATACCTAATAGGTTAACAATTATTTTCTCCCAGTATATTGAAGATATTATTTCATGGTTTTCTGGTTTCCATTGTTGCTGTTGAAAAGTCAGCTGTTATTCTAATTATCTTTTTAGATAGTCTGTATTTTTTCTCTTGCTGCTATCTCTTCTCTTTGTCTCTGGTATTCTGAAGTTCCACTACATGATAAGTCTATGTGGAAACCCTCATATTCATCCTGTTTACAGGTTGATCTTCCAAATCTGAGGATTGGTACACTATTTGGAAAAATTATAAGCTATTATTTATTAAAATATTGCTTTCATCTAATTATCTTCTTTTATCATCTCCATTTGGAATTGTAAGATACTAACCTCTCTCCCTCAATTCTACATGTCTCTAAACACTTTTCCTCCCATATCTTTTTATTTGTCCTCTGGGCTGATTGTGAATAATTTCTTTAGATCTATTTTCCAGCTTACTAGTTTTATCACTTAAAAATATTCATGTAGGTATCCAACCCATCCATTGAGCTTTTAGTTTCCATTTTTATATACTTTTTATGTTTGAAATTCTATTTTTACTTTGATATGACTAAAATTTTCATGGTCTCTTATTTCTTATGCATATTTTCAAACTCTTCTCTTATTTATTTGTATATATCATATAGCTTACTTTATGTCCTGTGTCTGATTGACACAATACTTTAGAACTTTGTAGATTAAATATGGATGTCCACTGATTTTTCAGTGTTTGCTTTTGGTACTTTCTTTTTCTCTTGTTTCTTCTGTGATATTTTTAAACTGTGAGCTCATATTCCTTGGAACTGTACTTATGGAAAGTTTTATGGCCCAGGTTCAAAGGGTCTTTCTCCAGAGAGAATTAATACTTTATGCTAAGAAAATAGGCCTTTGGAGTCCCAGCTTTATGGGAGGTAAAGCAAGCCTATTCTGTGAAGTTCAGAAAACATAAGCTTAAATGTCACTGGGTTCTTCAACTATAGTAAGGCTCATTTGTATCACTTAACTTTTGGTTTCTGAGTTAGTTTCCTTGGGATGTTGTTTAAAGTACCATAAACTTGATTGAGAAAACAATAGAAATGTATTCTCTCATAATTCTAGAGATAAGAAATCTGAAACCAAGAGGGTGGTGGCAGGGCCATATTTCCTCCAGAGCCTCTAAGGGAGAACCCTTCCTTGCCTCTTCTAGCTTCTGGAAGCCTTAGGCATTCCTTGGCTGATGGCATCAAAGCTCTGATCTCTGCCTTCATCTTCATCCAGACATCTCACTATACCTGTTGATGTCCAATTTTCCTCTCTGTAAAAGGAAACCAGTCATTTTGGACTGGGGCCACCTTACTTCAGTGACTTAATCTTAAGATGCTCACCTCTGCAAAGGTGAGCAAAAAAAAAAAAATGTTTATCATTTCCAAATAAGGTAAAAGAGGTTAAGACTTCAACATAGTTTGTAGGAGATTCAATTTAACCCATAATAGTTTTTGATAATTGCTGACTTCCTTGCCACCTCTTTTATATATTCCAGAAATTTTTTAGTCACAATGTAGACAATCTCTCAATCTTCTAGTCAATGTCAGCCATCAATTCCAATTCTTTTATTGTGTCATGGCAACTTCCACTCTTTCCCCATTGCCTTGTGGACTTAGAAATCAGCAGGAAAAAGGTTTTTTAGAACTGAATGCAAAATGAGAGTAAGGCTTTAAATGGAAACTCAATAGACATGATTGTGAACAAAGCAGAAGGAAAGTACTGTGTGGGAGGTTGCTTGAAGGACTTATCCCTACATTAATCACTGAGGTATAACTAACTGTTGAATCATAAAGATCCAGGGCTAAATCCTTCCTATCTTTTACAAATTGTATGATCTAAGAAGATTACTTTCAGTTTTCTCAAATAAAAAAAAAAGGAGGTTATCATAATAACATCTACTTTGGGGAGGTGTTTTGTGGATTGATGACTTAATGAAGATCCCTGGTGCAAAGCAGGAATTCAGGAGTTGTGTCAACAATTCGACTTCTATATTCCAAAATAAGTAAGGACTTTGAATAAATTGCCTCCAGATAAGCAAGGTAGAATGTTGAGAGCCACAGCCGAAGGGGCCCCAGCAAACTTCCAGCTGCCAGCAAACTTCCAGCTGCCAGCTGATGATTGGCTCACAGCGGCCCCAGCAAACTTCTAGCTGCCAACTGATTGGCTCCTCTGTGGTGATGCTCATTGGGTTGTTTCCCCGCCCTTTCAGACCATGGAGCTACTCATTGGGGGACTTTTTTTGGCTCTGCCCACGTGACCCAGCCAATCAGCCTCAAGAGCAGGAGGAGTTGGGGAGGTTGAGAGGCTTGTGGGAAGCCGGTGGTGGCAGTTAGGCTCTGAGGGTTTTCCTGAGGAGCTGTGTGGTGTGTGTGTTCTAAAAATAAAGTTCGTTTCTTTTGACAAGTGGCTCCTGAATTGTGCCCAGCCAGACTGCGGCAGTAGAAATTGAAAAGAAACGTTTTTCAGTTTTATACACTATCCTGAGGGGTAATTAGGGCAAATATGCTATCTTACAGATGAACAAATTGAGGCACTAGGATGTCAGCCCATTCAGCATGAAAGAAAGAAAATACTAGTAACCACACAATTAGGGGCATCTGCTTGGGGGATGATCAATGATTCTGTATCCCTTCTAGGGAGAAATGATATTCAAATTAACCAGACCTTCCCCTGGGTACCCAGTTCTGCAAGCTAACAGGTGATTGGACCCCTTCATTAAAAGCCACGTTTCCTTCAACTCCAATGATACCTCATCTCTATTAGGTGGGAGGGAAGAGATTGAGAGAAAAACAAAGCCAGACAACATTTTATATTGTATTTCAAACGCTGAACATGAAACTACCCAAAGATATTTTAACATGTTTTTTGAGAGCTTCACCCAAGCCTACACTCCAGAATAGCTTTATAATTTAAGGAAAGAAAAGCCAGAAATCGCCACCACTCTGTGATTGACTCACACACATGTTGGAAACAGAGTTCACAAATCTAATTCCTTTCTCCATTCCGGGACATTTTTATCCAGAGAACACAAGTGACCGGAGGCGGTGCTGCCCGCTCAGCCAATTCCTGACAGCAGCTCCCAGTGAAACATATTGTGTTTGGGGGCAAGCATTTATCCAGGAGTGGTGCTGAAATGAGATGGTGAGGACGCACACGGTGAATAAATGGCCGGTGGAGGGAGAGCTGAAGAAATGAGGGTGATTATGCAGGTGCTGTCCTCTATGAATACATTAGCTCCCTGATAAGCCCATGCATTTGACTGCCTCCAAAGCAATTTCTTGGAGTTTCAGTAAATACAGGTGTCTGGATATGTTTTCTAAGCTCAGCTTCAGACAGGCTGCTCCTGCTGCCAGTCCTCAGAACCCTAGTATTAAGTCTGGGGACAAGTCAGGCCCCATGCAGTGCCTGTCGGTTCCTGAACAGATTGTGACATACTCATTGTGGGTGCTATCGCCCCTTCAGGTTCGGGGCAAGGATTCTCAGGGCCAGTTACTCGGTCTGTGGAGTGGGAGGTAGAGATGGGAGAGGTTTGAGGTAAGAGGAGGGGGGATCCAAGCTAGAGACCTTGGGTGGAAACTGAAATCAGGAACTGTTAAGGGCAGCACCGAGGCCATAGGAGCAAAAGTAGATTTATTATTTAGAACTGGCCACACATTGGAGGAGGTCTGTGTGGAAGTACAAACAGGCTGGGCTGAAGAGGAAAATCTCAGACAAGAGCCACGAACACCAGAAAGGACAAGGTCCTCTCCAGGACAAGTAGGTAGTGGCAGATGTTAAGCTGGTAAAGATCTCTAGGGGGAAGTCAGAGGGGACCACCAGAGGGTCATGTCACAGTTTAAATACTGGATTTATCAGAGACACTCCCTGAACATGGACAAGATCCTTCGGTGTGTTAATTTTCACATTCCTGCTGAACACCAGGAACAACTAATGTGTCCCTCTGAGGGAGAAGAGTGAGGCATTCTGGGTTTATCTCTTCACACGTCAAGAGGAAGGAGTCAGAAAGCCTGGGAAATGCTCCTGTAGGATGAGACACAAAATGGTGCCTCTCACAGAGTCACAACAGGACTGGATGGTTATAGAGCCCTGGACTTTGAAGCTGGGTGGGTGGCTACATCAGAAAAATGGTAGCACTGGGCTCATGGGCCTGGACAATACCAGGTGGGGTCAGAAACAAGCATGGAGTAAGCTTGGCTATTTTGTTGTTTATACCCTATGAGCTTGTTTTCCATAGCTCTCTCTTGACAAAATCTTTGGAAAAGTTTAGGCCACCATGGAGGAGACCGAGATCATTCAGGTGAGAAATCCCAAGGGAGTGACCCTGATTGCTGTTCCCTGCCTCCCTCTGGATGCCTACTAGTCTCTTCCTTTGCTCACACCTTTGCTCACCCCAATTGTGAGCCGTCACGATTGTTTTTAACCATGAAGCTGTTCCCTTGGGTCAGGAGCTTCTCTCCCGTGTTCTTACCCCCAGACATGCAGGTTCTGAAGTGCTCTTCTTCCTGAAAATTCAAGAGGCTCCACTCTGTACCCCTTCTCAAACACACACATGGACTAGGGAGTAGAGATTCAAAACCAGCCTGTGTTCTCCATCCCCAGACTTATCCACCCTCATGCGAGCTGAGCTCAGCCCTCTTGGTGAGAAACCCCACTCACCCTGATCCCAAGCTCCACATTCTCGCCTCCGTAGACCTCCATGCCTTCGTCCAGTAGGCCAATCTCCTGGAAATACTGCCGGTCCACAATGAAGCAGCCGATGAGGGCAGGGCTCCTGCAGGTTGGGGGAGACAACCAGCGGTGAGCAGAGGGCTGCCTCCTGGAGCCACCCAAGGAACAAGAGCTGTGGAAACTTCCTACAGGAGGATCGGTTCTTCCCCCTTCTCAGCTGCCAGAGCCAGTGTGGGCTTTGTGCTCAGAGTAGCCTCCTGGCTCTGCCCTAACCCAGCCACTCCAGGGAGGCTGTTTATCAGGGCAGTGAGGTAGATAGCTCCTGTCCTGGGACCAGCTGTCATTCCCCGCTGTCCTTGCATCTGCTGGGCCAGGTGCAGCTGCATTTCTAGGTGCCTTGACTCTGATCTCTGAGCTGCACAGTCCATTTCTGCTGGGTGCCTATGCCAACTTTCCCACCTGGGGGTTCCACATGGCAACCTTGGTCCTCTTTGAAAGGTCAGCCGGGACCAGGCTACAAAGGGAAATAACTTATAAATTTTATCTGTAGGTTGAGGGTGGTCCATGAAGAATTTAAAGCAAAACAGGTGGTAGGAATAGATCCGTGTTTTTAAAAAGAATACTCAGGCCGCCGACTGTAGGGGACTAGGGGAATTGAGGGATCCAACTGGGAGGCTGGTTGCTGTATCCAGGTGAGAAACAATGAAGACGTGGAAGAACATGGAAAGAGGTGAATTATGAAGGGAGAGGAGGAGAAACCCTGATGAGAGCTGGCTTGCTAGCTTGGCGATGGTGAATAAGGCCCACTCATCAGTAAAGGGTATGAGAGAAATCACCTTTGGAAGAAAGAAGCATTCTTCCTTACACTATCTGTGGGTTACCAGGGGTAAGTGGACAACTGACCTTGCACTATCTGTGGGATACCAGGGGTAAGTGGACAGTCTGGGTGTGGACTCAGCTAGGGTCTTAGGTTAGAGCAACACTGCTGCAACTTTCCTTCTTTGGGGGGATATGAGCAGGGGTCACCAGCTGGTGTAGACATCCAGGACTTCCCAGGAAACAGTTCACATTAGGGCAATCAGCAGAAGCGTACCCGGATGCTTCTCTGCTGAGAACTGATGCTATCCTTTGTAGTCCTTGCTGGCATTTCATCAGCCCATGGTTAGAGGATTTGATAGAGGAGAAAAAATGAGAAATGAAGAACCGTTGGCATTGAGAAAACTGTCAGTCAATCTCATGCAAATGGACCTGTCTTAGAGACTGGAAATTCATCAAGATGGTAAATGGCTATTTTGCAGGCTGTTTTTCTGGGGGATGCTGATTCAAGGGGGTGCTCAGGAACACTGGCACCCTGGAGTCACTGTCTCTCTTCTTTCTATATCATTGGACTTCATTCTAGATGGCTCCACACTCCATAAACCACAGGTACACCAGGTGGTCAATTCAGACTCCTAACTCAGGCTGACATCCTGTTCTAGGATCCTGGACCCAGGCATTGGAAGTGTGCATTGTGAAAATAATCTCTGTTTAGGCTGTGTTCTCCAAGAGAAGTTCCCCAGTCTCTCTGAGTCTCCAAATCTATATCTATAAATAGGATTACTTATAACCTCATGTGGACTTGAATAAGGTAAAGCTCTTGATGGTAACTGACATAACAGGCACTCAAAGGTCATTTTAAAAGATGCAATTGTGCCCTTTCTAAGCATAGCAGACGGGCCTTTTCCTCACACCTCTGAATGTTGGACACGCCAGACCCCTCAGAAACAGTGCCCCTAGCACATGCAGGAAGGGGCCTTCCTCTAAGTGCCTGACCCAGCCAGGGAAGGAGCAGAATCCAGAAAAGTTACCTGGATGACCAAAGGCCACTTCAGGTTGTGTATTACTTATTAACTGGCTAGGGTAGTAAGCAGTCCTGATCAGTCTAAAAGTGATACTGATTTATATCCTCCCTGATTCCCAAAAGGATTTAGAAATAGCTTTTGAGAAAATATAGCATATATTGAAAAACATAAATAATATCTAGAAAGATCTAAAGATGACACAAGTTTGGGGTGAGTTAGAATGCATCTGCAGACAGAGGTCCTCCTTTATAGTTCTTCAATTGGCTGGGCAAATTTGGTTCTGAGTTTCCTGTTGGTTAAGGTGAAAATGAATATGTGGTCTTAGAAATAAATGTACAGTTCTCATGTGAAAAATCTCAAAAAATGATTAATTCCTCAGGGATAGCATGGTTTTCTCTGACCAGCAGTTGATTTGAAAGAAATTTCTCATATCAATCTTCCTAAAAAGGTCACTTGGGGACCTAGTGAAAAACCATCTCACAAACATCCTTCTAGAACACAACAGAGAATACCATTGGACTCTTTTTATAGCTTACACCATGTGGACAAAAACACTAAAATATGGCTCAAAAGAAAAAGGAACTGGGATAGGCAAGATATGTTTGTACAAACCACAGTCTCTGTGAGGTTGTCTTCATATAGGAATAAAACCCAGGGATGGTTTGTCCCAAATCTTCCATAAATATAATTTACTTAATTAAGTTTCTGATAAAAATTGAGTGATGGAAAATATGAGATGGAGATGTCATTCTCTGTTAAAGATCTAGAATTTAGCTTTGCTGATAAGACTAACCTGATATATTCAGAGAAGAGCAGAACAGAAACAGCTAACCTAACGTTAATATAGTTTTTTTGCAAAAATATTGATTGCATGGTGGCGTATTTAGCTCCAATATCAGCAGACTGCTGATCTAACCTAGGGGTTGGAAATCAGCTACACTAGTCCTGGGCTTGATAGTGGCTAGCCAGAGGAGTGATGAATAGCCATGGAATCCAGCTGACCTGAGTGGATCTTGGCTTCTCTGCCCAGAGTCTTTGGTAGGGTCATGATCCTTTCTCAGTTTTGTTCTCTTCTTATAAAACATGGATGACACAATGAATTGTCACCAGGTTATGATAAAGATATAATAAGACCATGTGTATGAAAGACCCTACGCACAATAATCTTCCAACAAATACTGAACAACACAGAACTGTGGCAGGCGCCTAACAGAGTAGGCAACTACTGTGGTTTCGCTATGGTTTGGGTGTCTCCCAAAGGTTCATGGGCTGGAATCTTGGTCCCATGTAACAGGATTCACAGGTGGAAGGTGAGTAGGTCATGGGGGCACCATACATGGAAGGAACTAATGGAATTAAACAGGATCAGCTTAATTCTCTAGGCAGCAGGTTGATGTAAGGCAAAGCCACCCCACATACTTGACCCCTTTGTCACATGGCTGTTTTCCTTTTTGCTCCTGCCATGTAGTGCCATCTGCCTTGTTAGAATGAGCACACTAGGCCCCCATCATAGGCTGACCAATGGGGTCACCCAATCTTGGACTTTCAGCCTCCAAAATTGTGAACTAAATAAACTCTCTAAATAAATAAATAAATAAATAAATAAATAAATAAATAAATAAATAAATAAATAAATAAATAACCAACCCAGCCTCGGGTAATTTTTTAAAATAGGAACTCAAGACAGGCTAAGAAAGTAACAGAGATAACTATAGCAAAGTTAAGCAGGGTTCTCTTCCATCCTATTTTAAATATGAAAATATTTTTTTTCTTCTAGCAAGGAAAAAATGTGATCTTAGGTAATAATCACCTACTTTCAATTAAATTTCTCTTAATCTTTCTCTCTCATGCAATGCAAAGCAACACTGGCTTCTAATCTCCTCTTTCATTCCCCAGCTGCCCCCCAGGCCACCTCCTGGTGCTGTCCCTGTGTTTAACAGGCAGGGAGCATAGACGCCCACCCTGTCATCAACGCAGATGAAAGAAAGGCTAGTGGGGACAGCTATTGCAGGATTCCTGATCTGTGAAAGCAGACCATGGGCAGTGTCATTCGGGGGTCCAGGAAAAGAGCATCAAAGGCAAAAATGCAGTTTGAAGCCACTTTTGTCTGGATGCTATAGGAAAAAACTCCAACACCATTAAGATGTGCAGGACCTATGGCTCTGCCCTGGCCCCTCTATCCCTCCATTCTCATTGCCTGGGGTTTTCCAGCTCAAGTTCCTTCTTTCAGGCCCTTAACCTCCTCTGTGACCAGGAACTTCACATGTGGGTGCCCATTCCCAACCCATCTATCTCCTACTGCACAAACATGATTGCTGTCCTATCTGCAAAAGACTTTCCATGTCTACTTGCCACACCGTTGGCACAGCATGGCAGAATAGTTTTTCATCCCAAAGATTTTGTCTGTCTTCATTAGACTCTAGGCTTTTGGGGTTGGAACCAAATCTTAATTACTTTGAGTCCCCAGCAGAAGCACAGCAGTGGACACCCAGGAAGTGGCCCATAGCAGTTGGTTAAAATGAATGACTTTGAGGCTGTGTATGTGTTTGGGTGTTATGGTGGTTCTTTCAAAAAGGATCAGCAAAGCCTGTGAGCTGTGCCTGGGGATCACACTGTAACTCCTTTCTACCCTCCTCCCACTGTGGCCTCCATTCTGGGGCTGGAGTTTGCAGAGTAAGGGTTGGGCTCGGGGGATAGACCTTGCCTGGTGGCCAAGGCAGAGAGACCTGCAAGTAGGATGCTGTACCTGATGGGGGCTGTGGAGTTCTCCAGCTTCCACCAGGCCTTGGGGGGGTTTAGGTAGCGGCACCACAGCTCCCAGTCAAAGCCCTGGGCGGCCAGCGGGTACTCTTCAATCTCAAAGTTGTCGTATTTGATATTATCAAAGGATGGCGAGATGATCCGCTTCCGGTTCTCCTTGATGCGGGTGAGTACAGGTTCAGCCCTGCGAGAGAGGGAGGGAGAGGGGGTGACTGCTTCCCAGGTAGCCAACAACCAGATCAGCATCTCCTGAAGGCTGTACCCTAGCAGGAGGAGGAAGGACCACTTGGCCATCTCCAGTGGAGGGCACACAGCTGCTTCAGCTGCCCAGGTTCACTTTGCTATCCCCTGAGGACTTCCGGGTGGGTGAGTGGCCTGGCCATTCCTGGATTTTGATACGGTTTCCCTGTTTTTCCTTTCTCCATACACAACAACAAAAACCCAGACTTAAAGAATAAGGGGAGGAAAAAAAAAACTTGAGGGAACATATTTGAGGCTCCAGAGGAAGATTTCCACCTGGGCTTTGATTTTGCTAAATTCAGTGCATTCACCTGGAGGAAAAGAGCAATGGGACCAAAAACAAAAAAGAGCAATGGGGATGGCGGGGACACATCCCCCACCTGCCCTGGGAGAGATGGGGCATCCAGGTTTCCCCGGGGAGCCAGGAGGCCCCTGTGGGCACCAGAGAATAATGTGTTTGCGGACAGGAATGATAAGCTCCTCATTAATAATACATTTGGTGCATAATTGTTTATTCAAATCAGCTTGAAATAGTAAGTGTCCCTCTCCTAGTGTGGCCATAAATCCAGTGAAAATGCTTTTTAAATAGTCACAAATGGCAAGCAGGGGCTGCAGCTACCAAAAAAAAACACACAAAAACAAAAACAAAAAAAAACCCCGCCTGCTCTGCATCCTTCTCCTGGGCCTGTCATTGCAGAAGGGAGCCCAGGTGGCGCACACGCCCTGCTAGGCCTTCCTGCCCAAGTGACCTCCTCACCTAACTCCCCAGAGGCAGAGGCTGGCATCCTGGAGACAGGGCAGGGAGCAGATGCTAAGGCCTGGTGAGTGAACAGGGTGAAACCAACTGGCCCTGGCTCTACGGTCATCCCCATACCCACCACTCGTGCCCAGGCTAAGCCACACAGTGGGCCCTACAAAGACATCAGCATCAGGTCCCGTTCCTGCTTGGCAGCAGACACTGAGGTTCCTGTCAGTTCTCTTGTCCCACCCACCACCTGAGCAGCCCTGGGCCCGAGAGAGGAGGGTTTGCTACAACTTGGTTTCGCCAGTAGAGAGAATCTGAGATGCTGTGCTACCTCTGGCCTGGCCCCCATGACAGTAACAAGGCACCCTCCCCACCTCTGCCCACGTGGTCTCTCCCTGTCTGTGAGGTGGGGCCTCTGGGTCATATCCGCTCCATCTTGGCCACTCCTGGGGGCTGGAGCCGGCCCTTTGCTGGGCAGGACTCTGCTTTACCATCAGCATGGACCCCTCCCCTTGGTCACACCTGCCAGAGGACCACACCATCCAGAGCCCCACCTGATCTCACCATACTCTTCAGGTGCTGTGTGTTGACCTGTTGACCCTTGACCGACTGACCCTGCCCCCCGGGTCACTCACACACCCACATCTCACTTTTCCCCAGGACTGTCTCCTTGCCACCTGCACTACCATTCCTGGCCCTCACTGGCCTCCTCCTCCTCACCAAGAGACACTCACCAGCCCACGTTGAACTCCACGTGGGCATCGAAGAGCGCCACCACGGGCGCCGTGGCTGCCCTCCAGCCGCTGACCCTGGAGCGGATGAGGCCCTCCTGCTTGCTGTGGCGCACCATTTTGATGAAGCCCGGCTTCTGGCCATTCACCTTGTCCACGTAATTGGCCAGCTTCTCCTTCAGCTCCTCTGTCGGGAGAAAATGCGTCCTTAGCAAGTGAGGGGCAGGGGCAGAGGGTGACCCAAACATCCACATTTCAGGATGAGAGGCTAGAGGGCCACCCCCTCCCTAGGTCTTCCTTGGTTCCCATGGTGACCAGCACAGCTCAGCTTTAAAGAGAAAAACTGGGGAGAAAACAGGATTGACTGAGTGCCTGCCACACGCACAGGTCACAGGCCTCCCATATGTTGTCTATTTCACCTTCATGACAAGCCGATGGGAAAACAGGGGCTCAGAGGAGTTTACCAACTTCTCTGACGCCACGCAGCTTGTGAGTGGCAGTCTGGTTTCAAGCCAGATCTCAGGAGGTGAACGGCCCCAGCTTCTCCTCAGTGGCCAGTGCCTGAGGCCTGCTCTGTCAGACTCCCATCTTCCCAGGTGGACAGCTAGAAGGACTACCACACTAGCAGTTGCCATGGGCCTGGCTGAGCACCTGTTGCCTCTGCTCCTTCCCGGGCATGTGCTGCCCAGGCTCCTCAGTACCCGACGTCATGTCCGTGTTTCCCACAGCAGCTCAGACGGGAGCCTGGGACACTTTGCAGTTGTTTGGGCAGAATTTAAAAGCTCATTTTGAATCACTGAGCCATCTCCGGGTCTGGGTCCCCTCTGCCTACTCTGTTGAGTGATTGTGTAGCTCACCCAGTGACAAGGATGTTGATACAATCCATTCTTTAATTGGGCCCCTCCTCCTCCTCCTCCTCTCCTCCTCTTCCTCCTCTTTTTCCTCTTCTTCCTCCTCCTCTCCTCCTCTTCTCCTCCTACTCTCCTCCTCCTCTCCTCCTCTTCTTCCTCCTCTTCTCCTCTTTTTCCTCCTCCTCTCCTCTTCTTCCTCCCCACCCCTCTCTCTTTTTTGGCCAGCCCCCTCAACCTCCACCTCCTTAGTCCACCGAGCCTGGTTTGGTGCCATAGTCCTTCTTCCACATCACAACCTTTATCACTGAAGACCTTCTGTAAGTCCTTCCTGAGGACTCCTCTAGGTCAAGTATCTTCAGATACTTTTTACATTTCCTCATTTCTCATGATTTCAAATTATTTCATCAAGTTGAACTTCTCTTTAAATATGTTAGTTTTTTCTTAAGACTTTAAAAGTTATGTACTCAGCAGCTGACTTAACATGTCAGAAGTAAACTGTGTGATACAGAAGAGAGGCAACTAACCACTTTCCTTAATCTAGAATCCATGCTCCTATTAACAGAGTCTAAGGTCGCATCAACTCTGCCTACTTTTCACTCAAATTCAGCTTGCTGAAAATATATACCTACACGTTCTTTTCACATGGTGCTACTAAATCAGACCTTCTTCATCCCATCTCTTCATGGATACAAGTGTAGGTGGTACGTGTGTGTGTACGTACGTGTGCGAGTGTGTGTGAGTGTGCATGTACTTAAACCAAAACAGGATCCTGCATTCACTCTTATTGAAAGCCACCGTTTTAAAGAATTGCACGGTGTCTCCTGATGTCAAAATGTCTCTGTCCCATGATTCTGCAATCCAGTGCCTTTGTTATCCAGCTCTTCCAGCTTTCCAGTTTCTGCAAAAGTGATGAGCATATGGCCTTCATTGTCATTCAAGTCATCCTTTAAACAATGTGACCCTTGTCCTAAGCTGCCTAGAGAAAAGTGGGCTGACTTCTGGGCTGATGCTAAATGCTGAGTCTTGCTTTGGCCTGTATGATAATGACCTGTGACCTCTGGTGACAGCAGCTGGCTGGGAGGCCGCTGTCTCACAAGAGCATCAGCCATAGGGCTGCATAACTCTGTGCCCCATGCTCCAAGGTCTTCAAGCAGGTGGCCAGAAGGTTTCCCAAGACATCAATTGCTTCAACACTTTGGAGGTCCATCCTGCCTGTTTGGAAATTTTGAGGAGAGCTGGTGAAGCCTGCCATCTGGGCTTTTGATGGTGGCAGAGGAGAGGATGAGTGCCCAAAGGCTGGAGGGAGAACCTGGCTAGACCCTCGTGTCCTCATTGAGAAGCCCCAGGAGTGTGTGCCTGTCCTCTTCTCTCCCTCACCCTTCAGGTGAGATCGCTGCCCTGGGGGCACCATTTCTAAGGTATTGATGGTGGATGATTGCTACCACGAGCCCCCCAGGAATCCCACACCTCCCTGAATTCATATCCCATTGTAACCACTTTGCACACTGAATATGGCTGGACCTACAACAAGGGGGTGCAGCAGGAGGGCTATAGGGCAAGCTCCAGGCCCGGGTCTTGCATGCCTGGAAACTCTGGGATTTGCTCTCTGGCTGCTCTAAGTAGGGAAGTCTGATCCAGTCTCCTTGGGAAGCCCAGAAGTCCCCAGAGAGGACTCAGGGGAGGAAGCACCACCTCCGATCCTCCAGCCCCAATGGGGCCTCCAGCTGGTGCAAAGGACCCGGAGAGCCCATGGATACCATGGCGCTGTGCAGAGCTGAGCTGAGCAGACAAGCTGCCCAAAGATCCCAGCCCTTATTGCAGGATTCCGCGCCAATGAATGGGTGCTGTCTTAGGCCACTGACGTGTGAGATGAGTTGTTCTGCACACAGTGCCCACTGTTCTGGGGTAGTGCTGGCACTGAAATAAGATTGATGCACAGGAAATGGAGTCAGACGCAGAAGTGCCAACTCAGAAGGACGGCAGCCAGACATGAAAGGTCTGGCTTCTTGTAAAACCGCTGCTCCTTTGTACCTCTGGCCTCCATTAACAGCAAACTGGAATAGAGCAAGTGGCAAATCCTGGCCCCAGGCAGCTGTGTTGCTCTACTGATTAAAAGAGGGACTCTTTTAGCCCCAGCCAGCAACAGAGTGGGGGTTGGGAGAGAGAGAAAGAGAGAGGGAGAGAAGGAAGGAAAGAAAGAAGGAAGGAGTTTGACATCTCCTAGATGACATGGGCTCAGCCATGAATTAGGGTTCATGTTTTCTGTCAATCTTTGTCAACTGCAAAATAAGAAGGGGGAAAAAATCTCAAAAGCACTGTGGCATTTGCAGGAAAACTGTTTTCTAAGATTCTTCTTTTTACATATTACATACCTTCCTGATAAACACTTTATATATTTAAAATACCTCTCAGAACCAGCTCCAAAAGACAGAAAGAACTTGCTGTTTTCCTTATACTTAAACACAAACACATAACTTGTCATATTTATCTTTTTGCTAAGGCTGTTAGGAAGCTCAGAGACAAATACAATTAATGACCAATCACAAGAGTTGGATCAGCATTTTTCCTTCCCTACCTATTCTAAAGCATTGATTTGCAAGTTCTAATTTAAATCTGCATTGTCTTTTGCCTTTTTCCCCCCTACTTAAGGACCTTTATTTTTTTTAAAATAAGTATCTGTCAATATTGCTTAATACAAAGTCATGGGAGGGTATACAGGCGCATAATTGTGGCAACAAGCGGGGAGCTCTGACTCTATTTTGTGCCTGGTTTCAGTGTGTTGGGAACAGGCGGTGGGTGGGGGGTCTGCTATTTGTGACTTTGCCAGACTTGGAGTCAATGCGGAGCTGGAGCTGTGACAGCCAGTGTTGACAGAGAAACACAATTTGCACTCTGCATGGGGCCAGTGTCCTCCTGCTTTTGTGGCTCCTCTAGCTCTCTCCTGCTGTCCCCAAATCCCTGCTCTGCTGACTTCTGAAAGACCTCTGTAAGCCAGCACTCCCAGAAGCAGGGCTGATGAGACAGCTTGCCTCTCAGGAGGGCTCAGGCCACGCTCCACATCCACAGGTGGAGCACCCCCCAGGGCCAGCTGAAGGCCAGCTGCCAGCCTGCTGTCACTTCTTCAGACTGAGAAGCCAAGGAGAACTGGGGGATTTACCAGTCTGGTCAACAGAGCCCTGCTCCCCTCCCTGGCTCTGCTCCCCTGTTTAGCAGTCAGCTGCCTGGGGCCAGCCCACAGGAAGAGAAGGCAGGCTGGCCCAGTGGGGGCTGCACCTGGGCTGTTGATCTCCTGTAAATACTTAATGGGACACTGATCTCATGGTAAAGGAAGCTAAAGGATTAAGAAGGAGCTTTGCATTTTTTTTGGAAGGTCTTAGGCGCTGTGCTGAGAAAACTCCCCAGCTCTGCAGCTTCGGTCTTGATGGTGTGCTTGGTGGATAATGTCCTATGCATGCTCTAGGACTGAGGGGAGCAGGAGCAAAGGGAGAGGTCACCCATTCCTTTGTTCATTCATCTGTCCAACAAATATTGAGCACTTACAGTGTACCAAGTATGGATCTAACTGCTGTGGCGACCGTTGTGCACAAGGCAGTCTACAGGGGACTGAAGATTTGTGTCCCCCAACCCCACCAAATTCATGTGTTGAAATCCTCACTCCCAAGGGGACAGCTCATGAGAAGATAAATGAGTCATAAGGGTGAAGCCCTTGCCTAAGTCCATTTGATAAATGCTACATAAAATTCAAAGACTGGGTAGCTTAGCAAGACCCTGTCACCGAAATAAAATAAAGGGCTGGGGATATACTCAGTGATAGAGTGCTTGCCTAGCATGCTCAAGGACCTGAGTTCAATAACCAACACCACAAAGATACAAAAACAAAGTAGGTATCAAAATAAAATTAAAAGAGCTGGATAGCTCAATGGTAGAGGAGTCTGGCCCCAGGTACTGTGGGGAAAATGTTAGCAGAGCCATGAGCGAGAGTCTATTCCATGCCTGTCCTCTGACGTTTGCTGCCAGGGCCTTGAACACTCTAGGCGAGTGCTCTACCCCTGAGCTATATCCCTAGGCCTTTATTTCATTTTGGGACAGAGTCTTGCTAAATGACCTAGGTTTTGGCCTTGAACCTGGGATCCTCCTCCCTCAGACTTCTGGGTAGCCAGAATTACAGGTGGGCATCCCGGTGCCCGGCTCCTGCTGACATCTTCTTTCTGGACTTGTAGGTTTCAGAACCATGTGACAATTTCTGTTGTTTAAACCACCCAGCTGATGGTACCAGTACAGCGACCATGCAAACTGAATGTGCCCAGAGTGAGGACTGGCACACACGGAGGCAGGT